AAGCAGGAAAAAAGGGGAGATCTGGTGGTGTTGGAGATGTGAAGCTAGGGAGAGCTGGAACAGATGAGTGGAGGGGTACTGAGGGGGGTGGGGTATTTAACCTGCTTATGTGCATGCACAAACAGAATGCTACAGATTATTGTGAATGTGTGAATATAATAAACAGAACAGAGCATTTCTTCATTTCAATTTTTTACAGTATCTCCCTCTAATTTTGTTAATATATACTGGAGCATTCATTATTTCTCATGTGTAAAAATTAGGAATGCACTGATTAGTCACTTAATCAATAAAACAAAAGCCTGCCAAATATTCTCTGATTTCAGCTTCTCCAATAAGATCATTTCTGCTTTGCTCTTTTGGATATCACTGAAAACTTAATGTCTTTGGGTTTTGGACTGTTGCTCAGGTAAAACAAACATTTTAAAGATGTCACATTGGACTCTAGAAGACTTTGATGGATATTTTTCACCATTTTCTGATATTTTACAGACCAGGTGATGAATTGATTCATTGAAAACACAATAAACAGATGGATCAATAATTAAATGAAATGGTTAGTTGAAATTCTAGAGCTGTACATCTACTATAAGTGATAGTTTGTACATTTATTTTAATGTACAGCAAAGTCTTGATTTATCCTTGTTACGTTTTATTCATAATCAATCATATACGGATTCCAGTCATACCAATGAATTTGTTTAGGTGTTTAATTCAATTCTGCATATGTCTGCATATCACTCTGTCTAGTATAAAATTAGCTGGAACAGTTAGTCAATTCATTAATTAATTGTTTGCTCCACAGAAAACAAATCAGCGGCTTATTTTTAAAGCAAAAACACTAAACATTTTGTTGTTCCAGCTGCTCGGTTTTGAGAATTTCTTGCTTGTCTTTTGCTTAACAAAGTAGTAAAATAACTATCCTTCTGGACTGCAAAAAACAAATTGGCATGCTTACTACTCTAACATTTTACTGACCAAACTGTCAATCAAGACAATAATGAGCAGATTAGCAGATTAAGCAATAATGTAAATATTTGTTAGCATCAACAACATTTTGTCGAATAAAGCGAATTCATAGACTAGTATGTTTTTTTTTTTTGTTGTTGTTGTTTTTTAACCAAGAATACAGGCATTATAGAGTTCACATTTAATAAAAATACTTTAAATGATTAGGGGTGAATTAGAATGATTTGCTATATTTACACAGTAGTGAGACTATTTTTGTTCTCTTCTTGCCTTAAAACTAAACATCTGATGCTCTCTGACAAAGGCACAGCACCATATTGTTTTCTAAAATTATACTTTTAAATATTTGTTCAGTTACTTGTCTCTGTTTCTGACTAAGGACCTGTGAACTCCATGCTCATTGATTTGGCAAAAAAAAAAAAAAAAAGAAACAACACACCTCTCAGTGTGTCTACAGGGGACAGTTGATCTGCAATGATGGAGTGCATTTGTGCTTGTGTTTTTCTGGCTTATATAATAACAAATATTAGAGGCTGGAAGCAGCCTGAGCTGCATTTCTCCTGGTGAGACTGAAAACAGAGTGCTGTAAAGAACAAATTAAACCAAACATCACTGTGGAGCCTATACATGCTGACATTACTGCAGTGTTATGTTCATAAAGAACTGTGAGTGTTTGATATTACTTTGTTTTTTAAAAAATGATTCCTATTGCTGGTGGGTCTGAATTAAGACAGCCCAAACATGTGTGTACGCACACACAGCACATGCAAACCAACACTGTCCTCATCTGGCCAGTGGGTTAAGCATGGTTTAATGTTATTATTGCACAGGTGTGGGTCTTGTCCCTCAGGGTTCCATTAAAACGATGCCCCTCTCAGTGGTGGCTCCATTTGCTCTTTAGATTTAACATAGGCCATATGTCTAGCAGGAGGCAAACAGCTGATGGGGTTTAATTGACAGAAATCAACATATTTGGTTGTGTGTGTGTGTGTGTACGTATGTGTTACTGTATGTGTGTATCAGTGAGCTAATGGTAGATCCTATAAAGGGTCAAATCAGAAAGGAAAAGAAAAATGGAGGCCAATGGGGAAGAGATGCAGTGGCACAAAGAGATGTTAACAGCAATGAAAGAAGAGAAGTTCATAATAAAGATAGAGAAAACTGTTGCAGACTCAAAACACAGTTTAACATTGACCGACATGACCCCGCACATCAATGTGTAAACATGATTCCTTCATTTCGGAGCTAACATTCTTGTTAGCTGCTAACACTGCTGTGTACATAGTGTAGGCATCATGTTTCATCTAGCTTCACAGAAATACTATCCGTGACTGCAGTCGTATCATGTAAAATTACCTGTGTCAGAGAGCTGATCTGGGCTCAGGGGGGGACCCAAAGCAAATGAGAGTGCATACACTGCTGAGCCCTCAAACTCAATAAAGCGGTGCAAGACACTGAAATAATGAGATCTGCCATACCAAACCACTTTATGCTCATTTAACGGAAATATTTCTTGGATACATTTTGAAAACTAGAATGGTTAAAAGCACCTGGAGGGATAACCCAAAGTTAGGCTAACAGGCACAATGCAATTAGCACATAAAACCTGTCAATGGCTCTCAATATCACAACCCTCTAAGGACTGGAAGTCTTACAAAGCCTCCTGATCTATTACTACAAAGTGATTAATCCTCCCCACACAATGACCAGCCTCTATATTATTCGGTAACCCTTGATGGCAGTTTAGCTTTGCCATAATTAGCATTCAGATCAGGGACTGGAGCGAAAGCCCCTCCACCAGAGAGGAAGGACGGGATGAAATGGCGAATGAAATGTCATTAACTTGATGTTAATTACTAATTAACGGGACAATTTCATTTACATGTATCTCTGGCTCTGATGGGTCCTGCCTTTACTGGGTTACTCTTACCGGCCGACAAGCTGGGGGAGGGTTTATCTCCCCTCCCCTCTACACTCCCCTTCCAGTGTTTCATCACTGCTAATTAAATAGTGAGCAACTCATCATAATTATGTCTACTTTTACACCATTTTCTGTCACTGAAAGCACTCCAATAAGTGCCTGACCACCTCTTTAACACCACGGCTGGTTTTTGTATGAACTGTACATTAAAAGCCAAATTCATTGCCAGCACCCACCCTCCACTGACTTCTGACTTATTACTTTCACTCACTTGTGACCCCCCCCCTTCTTTTCTTTGCCACACAGCAGCCACAAGCCATCCGTCTCCATGGCAACCTGAGCCATTCAGTCCCATGAGAAGGAGTGGGTTGGGTTGACTAGCGTCTGGCCGATCACACGTGGGCAGTGCCAGCTAGCCAACATGGCACACGGCATCCTGCCATATGGTGCCACCACATACGTCCTGCTGGCCCGGACTCGTGATCTGGGCCTGTAAGTGAGCTGCTCGTGTGAACAGGACAAACGTGCACTACTGAGGCTGAGAAACTGTCAGTTTAATAGTAGAAATCATTTCATCCTTTACCTCTGTGTATAGGTTTATGAAAATGCTTTCCATGTAATGGTGGGTAATATTTGCTAGAAGCTGAAAGTCATCCAGATAAAAGCCACAGAAAAGTCTTCCACTCCCCCTTCTAAGTATTTGGAGGCTAGATGGCACCATGCTCTTTCATTACTGATACTGTACTGCCTCTCTGTGGCACTATACAGGAAATACATTCAGATAGTGCAGCATATTGAAACAACTTCACTGTTGACAAAATATAGTTTTATTTAAAATTTATACGTTGAATAAAGCATAATTTAAAAGCATTGGAAATACTTCATTTTCTCACGAGTGTTTTAGTTGTAATCATACATACTCTCTCAAAAACTATTTGTCAGAAGGCTTTCAGACTCCTGGAGTGAGAGATGTTGTATGTTGGTGGTCAGAACTCCAGCTATTTATGTGCACATTTACATTTTCAGCACAGCAAAAGAAGAAAAGGGACAAGCAATGAAGGCAGTTGTAAATAAAGCACATCTGCTGAGCTCGGCTAGATATGTCAGGAATATGTGGCATTGGCGGAAAGTCGAAAACAAAAAGCTGAAAGCTTTTTCTAACACAAAATAGCTCCTTTGCCTGCCGTGGATTGAAATGAAACTGTGTGAATCCTCAGGGGGGAGATACCTCTGCACGGTTAGTATCGCAAAAACTGTCAGTGTTGGATGTTACTCCTGGCTCAGACTGGACAGCGCAGGTCAGAAGAGAAGAAAAAGTGAAGACACTAGACTTACAGAAAGAGGTCTGTTGGCTTTTCCATACTGTTTGTCATCAAACTGAATAGAATTTTTTTCTTTAAAAAAAAAACTTTTTTAAATGAACAGAAATCATTAAACCCTAAAAATATAAGTAACCAAAATAATTAAGTAAGGTATTTGTATTACATGAAATTGCACTGAAAGAAAATCAAAATAGTTAAAAACCTTTGGTTTTCCTACTTGCATCATAAGCTCACAGAATGCATTCACTCAAATCCTAAAGCTTTCCATGACCCCCCCCCCCCAAACCAAAAACTGCAACAATAAGATGAGCTTGTAACCATGGAGATGGGAACCACAGAAGGCAAATTGTACAGGACATTAGAGCGCCTGCCAAGTAATTAGCGACTGGGTAATGAGGTGTCACTCAGACAGTTCTCTGGGCGATGGGTGAGTGGGGCCTACTAATGAAAGACTTCAGGTATGAAAGGCTGGGCTCTCCCTGCGTCAACCCCCCCCAACCCCCATGGTAAGAAAATACCACTTTGGTCTGTCACAGCTGTCAGAGAGCTCCTGAGACTAACATCTGTCACATTCACAGCTCCCTCAACACACACACGCAAAGTGAGATACTGCTGTCAGGTGACAATCTCTGACTTTTCTAGTCCTAAGTAACAGATTGTGCAACAAATAACCAGCAGACCAGCAACTGTTTAATCACCACACACTGCACAAGCTGGGACCTGGAGGTAGTGTACACTTTCCTCATTCCACTTCCTCCATGAACACAGCACCCCCTAACGCAGCTATGGTTTTTGGGGAGTGCTCTACCTCCTACTGTTGTGCGCTTTTCAGTAACTGCTGCTGTACTTCCACTACCAGACCCATAGCCAATCAAATTTTCTCAGATGTTATATCCAGGTGGTTTCCATGTGCTTCTTGTTAGTTCTCTGGTGTGGATAACGTCCTTGCTGCCCAAGGTCACATTTCCCTTGGGAATAAACTTCTGGTCCCTCTGAATGATGCTTCAGATGTGGATGTTGTAGTGGCGAACTTTACTAGAGTCAATGTCGACCCGGCGGGCCTCAGCAAAACACAGGAAGGTGAAAAGGCCCAGCAGGTTGACTGTGGTGATGAGGGCAAACACAGACGCCCACGAGCCTGTGACTTCGATGAGATACCCCGAGAAATACACCATTAAGACGCCTGCAAAGGAACACACACAGCATATTAGCACAAAGGCAAAAACAAAGCAGACACTATATTCCATGTAGTCATTCAGTTCAGATCTCCACAGAGAAAATGACACAGACCATTCACTGTCAGCCTCTGTTGCCTGTATTATTCATCAGACACAAACTAAACCATGGTCCCTTGATGAAATATGCATGGCACATAGAAGTCAGCATGACTGACAGGAGACTTGTCAGCTCAAAATTTAAATTTAGAGTGAATAAATTGTCACTTGGTGGATTTTAAATGCAAAACCAATCATTTAACAGCTGCTGATAAAAGATTAATCACATATTTCTTCTCGGTCTCTCTGCCATAAACTCACCTGAGAAAGCACCACATGTATTCATAACACCTGTAAAAGAAACACATCATCGAAAATGTGAGGTTTAAATAATTATCAGTTAACTGTTTAAAGGTTTCATATTTACCATTATTTTATAGAATGTTTTAAGGAAGTTTAGACACAATTTTTAAAAACTTACCAAACAAAGCTCCAGCACAGGATGGAGCAAGATCTTGTACATTTACAGATACACCACTGTAAAAGATATACATCATTAACTGTTTCTTATAAACTGAGCCAGGATAAAAACAACAAATCAGCCAGACAAATAACAGTCATACTATATGATAAAATAAGTATAAATAAAGCATGCCATCATCTGTTGCATAATTTGTACTAATCAAGTCGGGAACCTGAATGAGAAAAAGCATTTTCTTTCTTTAGCTCATTAAAAGAGTTTCGCTGTGGCTCTGGAGGGACCTGACCACAACCAACAGCTGGAGACTTTTATTTTATTTTTTATCATTCTTTTGAAAATGGTCTTTTTTTGTATTTGTGAAACACAGTAGCTGACCTCCAAGTTTGTGATTTATAATATCATTTTATTATTTATTTAATATTTTAAATGTTGGAGGAAAAAAAAAAAAAAAAAAAAAAAAAAAACAGCAAATTTTAAGCCTATTTCCTCAAACGTGTGATTATGTGTCGATTCCACATCCACTGTTCTGCTGTGTAAATACCCAGTAGCCCATAGAAAAAGCACGGTTTACTTTCTTTTGCTAAAAACACTGCTTTTGGAAATGGCCTTATTAAGAATGTAAGCACACAATCACCACATTTTTAGCAGGCATTACATTTTACAGGGCAAATAAAGGATAATAATTTAAAGGTTCCCTATGTAGTTTTAAAGCAAAGACTGCAAAAACACAACGTTAAACAGCACACCAAACTTTTTAACTGCAGGTCTAATATCAGCCGAGCTGCATGAGCCACATCATATCTTGTTCTCTGGAAAAGATGGTGAGATATTTACTACTATGTGGTGCTCTCTGCATTGTGATGGAAATTAATGTAATGTCATCACCATTAGGGAGCACACAAAACTGACACACTGACCTGTAGGAGCCATTTATAATGTCAAGTTTAACTGTGTGCAAGTCACTATGGAGACCAGTAGGTGTCACTATTTTCAGGGGTTAGATGCAATATGCTGTTGGTAGGAACCATCAGTCGGGTGGCAGGTGTTCCTAGATGGAGGACGCAAGCGGTTTTTGATCGCAGCACTCTGCTCCACTCCATGCTTTACAACACCACTCCACGTATGATGATGTGCCAATGAATGTGTTGGATTTATGGAACCATGGTGGTCTGATGTTATGAACACCATGTATGTTAAGTTTAGGCTTTTCCGCTACACTGACCCTTGGGGAACCCGACATTTAAATCTAAAACTAGAATTACCACTTTGTTGGGGTATGCCTCCAACAACCAATCAAATTCATGGAAATGGGACAGACATGATGTCACTGTGACCACCAAAATCTACTTCATCATCCTTGTGTCCAAGTGCAACAATCACAGCTACGAGCATAAGAAACGTTGTTTTCAGGGGCAGTGACAGAATGTGAGGACAGTGTAGGTGCCAGTACCTGTGACTGAAGGTGATGAGGCCCATGGTGGCGGACACAAATGCTACAGCCCAGGGAAAGGTGGGGTTGCCACATAGAAGAAGGGTAAACACACTGGACACACCCATGGAGAAAAACTAAGAGAGAAATATATGCACACCAAACCACATAAAAACAATATCTTCATTATGTGAAAGTGTAAAGAGGAAAGAGAACATTCACACTGTATGTGAGTGGAAGGAAATCTACAGTAAACGAAACAAAATAATGAAGCAACTGTCAAATATTGTACCTGCATTAACTTCCTCACAGAGGCTGTATCGAAGCCTGAAGGGGATCAAGACAGAAATTACAGCAGGAAAATTTTATCACTGCTTTATCAATAATAAACTAGATTTAAAAAGAATTCCTCGGTTTCTCTACCTTGGCTGATGAGATGGTCGGACAGGCAGCCGCTGAGGAGGGATGAGGGAATGGCAACGAACCAAGGAATGACGTTAAACACCCAGCCCTAGAGGGACAATGCATTTTGTTTTCTGAGCTGAATGAACTTTACCAGAAACGGCGCATTCGATCATTTTGTTATAGTGGGTTGGTTTTTTTAGCCACACTGTCAGTGGGACTCAGTGGATGGAAATATTGCTTGGTCACTTTGGTCCAGAATAAATATCATATTATCTAATGGACTGTTATCAAGACATTTCATACAAACATTCATGCCTAAAAGATGAAACCTATTGACAGTGGTGATCCTGTGACTTTTCCTTTACCACCAGCATCCATGCCTGTTTTTTACAACAACTACAGGATGGACTGCCAAGAAATATGAAATATAAGATTTCCACAGCTGGACTCTGAATTTTCAGAATTACAATGAAAACCAAGTGGATATTCTACAGACATTTTAGTTCCCATAAGTTGTATCAGACCCTGTTTAGACTTGGTTTTAAAATGTGCATATATGTAATTTGAAAGCTTTTGTTAACATTAAGAATTAAGGAAGCAGCTATTATGTTCTTTTGTTTTAATTGTAACAGACCGGGGTGGGTTTAAATAAGTTTGACTTCTTCCCATTCCGTTTTCAAGTGCAACAATCACAGCTACAACAACAAGCATAAGAAATGTTGTTTTCAGGGGCAGTGACAGAATACGAGAACACTGTAGGTGCCAGTATCTGTGACTGAAGGTGGTGAGGCCCATGGTGGTGGACACAAATGCTACAGCTCAGGGAAAGGTGGGGTTGTTACATAGAAGAAGGGTAAACGCACTGGACACACCCATGGAGAAAAACTAAGAGAGAAATGTATGCACACCAAACCACATAAAAACAATATCTTCATTATGTGAAAGTGTAAAGAGGAAAGAGAACATTCACACTGTATGTGAGTGGAAGGAAATCTACAGTAAACGAAACAAAATAATGAAGCAACTGTCAAATATTGTACCTGCATCAACTTCCTCACGGAGGCTGTATCGAAGCCTGAAGGGGATCAAGACAGAAATTACAGCAGGAAAATTTTATCACTGCTTTATCAATAATAAACTAGATTTAAAAAGAATTCCTCGGTTTCTCTACCTTGGCTGATGAGATGGTCGGACAGGCAGCCGCTGAGGAGGGATGAGGGAATGGCAACGAACCAAGGAATGACGTTAAACACCCAGCCCTAGAGGGACAATGCATTTTGTTTTCTGAGCTGAATGAACTTTACCAGAAATAGAGCATTGGGTCATTTTGTTATACTGGGTTGGTTTTTTTAGCCACACTGTCAGTGGATGGAAATACTGCTTGGTCACTTTGATCCAGAATAAATATCGTATTATCTAATGGACTGTTATCAAGACATTTCATACAAATATTCATGCCCAAAAGGATGAAACCTAGTGACGGTGGTTGTTAGGGTTATTCTATCATAAACAAAATGGACTGAGTAGACCGAGGCCGATTTTCTTTATATAAGGATTTTAATATTTGCAGCAAGGGAGCACTCAATACATACAATTCAGTTGCATGAAAGCAATGCTCAGAGAGGCAGTCTTTGTTGAGCCTATTTATACAGTCAAGTTGGTACTGTGGCAGCTCCTGCTAATTGTCAGGAATTCCAGCTCTGTTAATCAGTTTCTGTCACGTGTTGATGTTGCCCGACAGAGCTGGGTGCAGTTACCAACTCTCCTGCATACTTGTGGTCTGGTATTTTTGTGAACTATGTGGATCAGATCAAGCAAAAATACATCATCTGCTCTAAACCAAAACACCTGCATGTACAAAAGTATAACATCTTCTTGAGCATTCGAACAAGCCACAACAAAGCATTTCCCCCAACAGTGGTGATCCTGTGACTTTTCCTTTACCACCAGCATCCATGTCTGTTTTTTAGTGAAATGTCTCAACAACTACAGGATGGACTTGGCAGATCAACATGTTTATTTTTCCAGTGAAAACCAGGTGGATGTTCTACAGACATTTTAGTTGCCAGAAGATGTTTCAGACCCTGTTCAGACTTGGTTTTAAAATGCATCCTGGGCAATCAGACCACAAGTGGCTAAATACAAGAATAAACAACCACCAAGACAGATCCAATCACTGAAACCACTTGCTGAGGTGGTCTGGGATGCACTTGACCACATACTCTATCTTGGTGGACATGGTAAATGTTGTTACAGTGATACCAGCACATCAGCTCGATGCTGTCAGCATGTTGCACTGCTATGCCTACAACCTCACAGGGCTGCTGGGACTGCTCTAATCTTGTTAAATAAACAAATGTCAGGTCTTTCTTGATTTAACCCTCATGGCTGTTTTGCTTTAATCATTGTTCCTGTAGCCTTTGTGTCAAATATGTGGTCAAAAGGTGGATGAAAGGGTACTGCAGTTACCTTGGCATCTGTGAAAGTGTCTTTAAAGAATGTTGGCAGCCATGACAAAAGAGTGAAGAAAGTGCTCGCTGCGCAAAGGTGCGTAACAATCACAGCACTGTTCAAGGAAACAAAAAGAGACAAACAGTGAAAAAAAAAGTGCATCGCAACTACATTTACACACGCCAAAGGTTGTTGCTAACATAGATATTGTCCTGTCTTTTTGAACACTGTCTGATGGGTTTGATGAAGCTTGTGCATGTGCTACTTGTTCAACATTGATGGTTTTCCCAAGTCATATCTGTGTTAAGGCAAGTAGCATGTGGTTGAAAGAATCATTGGTATGTGAGTATTTGTGAGACCATACTGTAGCTATCATCTAATCTGTTACCCTCAAGGTGGAAGTGGAGCATATCAGCTGCATTACAAATGTACGTTTCTAGGCCGTAGGAAGCGACTCAAAGGACATGATAGAACTCAGTACCACAGACATGAAGAGACATCTGAGGCAACCAGAGATTTACTGTTCTCAAACCTGGTACATATAAACAGCTGAATCAGAGTCCACAGAAACAGCTGCATTACAGAAACGTCCCTACTTTCTAAATTATGATCTGCCAAGACACAGATGTTTTTATTTTTTTTAAACTATTCTTCAAATTTCTTATTTCCTAGATCAGCTGTGATCTCATATTTCCATGGTTACAAAACACATACACTAAGCCAGCATTCTGGGGCTCTGGATGATGCATAAAGCGACAGGATCATGGTAGAATTTCCTGACTCAAACTCGGTAGGACAGCCAAACCTACAGCTGCCCATTCATATACATATGAGAACAAACACACACCTACGCATATGGACAAAGAAGCTACTGCACATAGCCACAAAATACACACAAAGGCTTGTGCAAGCACTCACACCTAATCTTGTTCACTCCCTTTATCTTTATCTCACCAGACTGCAGGTTGTTTGAAGAGCCGTAACCAATGCCTTTTGGTCAGTTTGGACTGGGGTCCAGTGCTTCCCAAGGACTCAAGGGTAATGATAGGGCCTACAAAAAAAGGCAAACACAGTCACATGGGCATACAACAGGACAATGACTCCAGTTATACAACTAGGCAGCTACAAGATAAGAGCATGCACTGACACTAATACTGTTGGCACATTAAAAGCCTCCCTTGCCTTCTCCTTTGAGTAGATATTTCCACATACAGTAGGCCCACAGGACTGAGAGGAGACCAGACACATAGAAAACACTCTCCCAGCCATACAGGTCCAACATAAGGGAGCCAGCCCCTCCGATCACTAAAGTGCTGAAAAACATGGTCACAAGACAAGACCAATCACACCAGCACAACATAGTAACATACTGGATTGGGCACATAAAAATCCTGAGAGGAACATGAAAACAAACATACATCAGGCTCCACATATGAAACACTCATCTGTTTTCCACAATTTCCTGTTAATTGCCCAACACCTGACTCACCCAAGGTAGGAGCCACTACCCACAGTGCTCATGAGGAAGCCTCTCTCACTTTCCACCACCTTTTGGGAGCACAGACTTGCCAGAGAAGGGTAATGAACTCCTTAGATCAAGACAGAAAACATAATCAGCCAGTGTTTATGTAGAAAGAAATCCCAGGAATAATTTCATGAGCAACAGAATATGATTTTTTTTAACACCTCATTGCACAGAACAAGAGATCTGGAGATTTTTTTGAGTAATATGAATAGTGTAGAACATGCTTAAGCAGGTACTGAATTGTTTGATATCCATAAATGGTAGCAACTGTGCTTTGTAACAAGGGTTTCCTGCCAACCGTCATTTAAAGCCACTCGTAAATCGCCCTCACCAATGACAAATACTCACTCCGATCCTTGAACAAAGTAATTAAATGAAAAGCAAAGCTGCTACAAAACAAACATTACATGATGCCATACCAGTCACTAACTGAGGTCTATTAAAGTGACACTACACAGGAGCTGCACTAGCTGTGGGCTACAAATAAAAGTGAAAAGGAGCAAACAACATATTACAGTTTAACAAAATGTTCTCAATTGTATTTTGTGGTTTTTCTAGTGGACGCCTACAAGTCACACCTGTTTTAGTACTTAAATGGCTTAAATAAAAGGAGTCTCAGAGGCCAGTAAGTGACAAATGATAAACTTTGGGTCATAGAAAAAGGCTAAAACTCACTCAAAGGACTTTAATATGTACAGTATATGTGTGCATCCATTATGAGTGCCTTCATCTAATTCCCTAACACAGACAGCAGATCTTTAAATAAGCTAATTAAATTCTCTGTCCAGTTCCTGAAACAAGAGTACACCCATTGTTCAAGGTCTGGAAGAAGCACGGACCCTTAAAAGAATTGTTTCACCTCACTGACTTATAGTCATCTCAAGATGCAATTGATCATAAGCCATCCAGCTCACCTTGCAACAGGCCCACGAGGAAACGGGCCAGTGTCATCGAGAGGACAGGCTGGGAACAGAAGTGGGCTAGGATGGGGGTGAAGGCTGTCATCGACCCCCAGGCTACTGCAGACAACAGGAGGACCTTCTCACCTCCAATCCTGAGGACACACAGTACAGACAGTCTATGTCATTCTTTCAAAAAAAAACAAAAAAAAAACACCTTATCTTTGACTAAATTTGTTAGACATATTGTAAGAATAGAATTAGGCACTGAAGATGCTTTGTAAGGGCAGCACCAGGGGGGTGGGCTGGTAAGTGGTTAATGCTGTCACCCCACAGCAAGAAGGCTCTGGGTTCGAGCCTGGGCCGACCCAGTGCCTTTCTGTGTGGAGTTTGTGTGTTCTCCCTGTGTCCGTGTGGGTTCTCTCTGGGTACTCCGGCTTCCTCTCACAGTCCATAGACATGCACCTTAGTGACAGACTGGTCACCTGACCAGGCTGTACCCTCCCTCTCACCCAATGTCAGCAGAGATTACCCCCCCACCCGTGAACCTCTTCATGATAAGCAGTATAGATAAAAGGATGGATGTATGTTTGGCAATATACCTACTGACAGACTAAGCATTTTGAGGAATAATTTTACACTACTAACTTTGGGGTGGCTGTTTATGATGCTGTGAGCCCACAAGAGTTAACATCATGACAACAGAAAGAAAGCATTTATTTGCTAAATTATCTGGCCAGACTGAGGAAACACAACTGGGCCATTTGCATCACTCGCTGCCAGTACAGCTCTCATGCAAATGACACCGACAATCAGGAAGCTAAAACAAGTGTGAACTGAAAGCCTTACTGTCAGATACTGATACTGTTAGAATGCCTATCCCAGCAGACATCTGGGTAAACATAAGGCAATAAGACAACTCATTACTTTCTCACAGGTTGAGTTCAGATATTTCCTACCGGTCGCTGACGTAGCCTCCAGGCACTTGGGTGAAGCAGTAGCCCCAGAAGAAGCTGCCCAGCACCATGCCAGTCTCCCTCTTGCTCCAGCTGAACTGCTCTGCCATGCTGACAGCACAGATGGGCATGGCCACACGGGAGCAGTATAGGAGGCATGCCCCGAGCAGCAGGACCACCGTCCATATCCTCGCCACTGGCCTGCACACAGGGAGAATGGATTGAGTTATTTGAGTATGGTCGCACAAAGGCACCATCTGGGACAAACTCTGGACTTTAAACCAGTTGATAGGGGATGGTAAACACTGTACAGCATCTAACTATGGCTGGAAATGACTGCTCCCAGTTTGGTTGGCTACTAACTACAGCACAAGCTACAGTGGCTTCTAATTCATACAAGCCACTTCTGGTTTGGGTATAAATGCAATGTCCCCAAAAGTAAGACAATTGCTATGAGAGTATGGTGTCAGAAGAATTAAACTATATTTTAAAACAATTCCTTTTTCATTTCAGCGCTACAACCTGCAGTACTTCCTTATTTACAATTCATGAGTCAATTACAGCTACATCATAAATGTATGAACCACGAAACGCCATAGATGATATGTATCCTCTCACAGATATAAAGGCAACATTACTTTACTAAAAGTACGAGTTGCTGAAAAGCTTTGATCTTGATTTGGATTATTGGGACCCTCTGGGCTGATTAGTAAACCTGTGGAGTTACTAAATCATGACCATGAAAAACAACAATCACTGCTGAATGTGTGTCTGGGTGGAAAACGAAGTTGAACGCGGTAAAATGTTACCTTGACCAGGTGGTGTTGTGTTCAGGCCAGTTCTTATGACATCCAGGGAGTCCGGGCTTGTCCGACGGAGGATTTTCCTTGTGACAGACCAACTCTGGATTATAGCTCTTGCCGTATTTTTGAACAACTGCCATTCAACGCGAGGTAATTGCAGCCACCTTCCAATCGCTTCGGGTTGTTTAGTTACTTTCAATCTCTTTCCTCTTTAACTTGACTTGACTTTCTGGTCGATCAATCAGAAAAGTGACGTTAAACGCTTAGGGAGAAATCTAACGTTCTCATAAAGCATCCGCGTAATCATGTCTCGAGTCAACGTCAAGTCTATCACCTGAAAAGACCGGACGAGGACGATGTGCAGGATGGAGATTGCTTTTCTCGATTCCTTTGGGAGGAGTAATCCACGTGTCAGTTTTTCTTTCTAACCTCCTCCAGCCGGGCACGCAGTTCGTGTTCTGATCGGTAGGGTAAAGCAGGAAGTGATTTGACGCTAGTATCGTCCAAAGCGGCTCCAGCTAATGTTATCTAGTCAGCCGTATCACCCACTTCATTATCATCCAAATGGCCAGATAGACGCCTCTGGCTCCAGGCCCTTTCCAGTCATGTTGGCGCAGTAGCCTCTAGAAAATGTTGCTAACCGAAGCGGGTCGCCTGTGGGAGCATCTCCGGACCTGACCTTGCCGGATGAAGACGCGGTGGTGCCCGTGTCGAGAGGCTGAGGTGGATGTGAGGCTGTGGGGCAGAGATATGTGCAGTGCCCACAGGCCCTACTGTCCGTCTACCTCTCGCTATTTGAATTAGCAGGAAATCGTTATATCCCTGCATGCAACGCAACTTTTAGCGGCTGTCTTCTAGTCTGTGGTGATGGAGTGAAGTAGTAGGTCGCACCCAAGACTCGTGTTAAAGTATCACTTCATTTTAATTGTACATTTTATGTAAGTTAAAGTACAGAAGCATGTACGGATTATAAGAAAACGGACCCTCGGCCGTGTGTGCACAGACCAGACTGTAGGCTACTTGACATTGACTAGGCTTACATGATTTTGTAGTCGTTTTAAACTCTCTTTGGGATCATTTCACAGCTTTTGTGTCATTTTTTTTAACTGAGCCCAGTGAATTTTGAATAATTAATATAAACAGTCCCTTCAAAAAGAGACACTGACCCACGGGGTCCCTGACTGCTCAGGTACCGGGCCCAGTGCCCTAGAGGCCCAGCCAAATATTGAGAAAACGTGAATGTACGTTGGTTTTTCTATTAATAGTGGTGTAATTTACTTCCATAAAATGCTGCTGCGCTTTAAAATTTCCAGAATTTAGAAACATCCATCCATGATCTATACCGCTTATCCTGAACAGGGTCGCTGACATGAACCTGAAACCTTCTTGCTGTGACGTCACACATATGTCATACTGCCCAATTTAAAAACATTCCAAGCTTTGAAGTCTGTTATGACTTGCCCTGTTTAAAAAAAATCATTTTTATTGCAAAATAATATACCAGGGGAAAAAAAGCACATCAAATCTTGCAAATGAGATACTTATTCCATACATGTAAACAGTCCATCTATATAAAGGCCTCCATGTCTGTGGACACAGAGTTATCCATTCACATCTTATAATATCACTTGTGATATTTTATAACATTAAGAAAAAAAGGCTACCTTTAAACTTGCACAGTCACAGTATGCTGCAAAGTTTAGTGTCAGGAATCTTGGCATGTCATACCTGCAAACTGCCACCATGATGCAGAGCTTGAAAGTTGAACTTTTCTTTGTTCTCTGAATCTTTTTACAACATTTTAAGTAATAATATGATACAAATCTAATTTTTCATAGTCACAGTAGCTTGAAACATTCAAAGTATCTTCCTTCAGCTCTTGTCCATAGAATACTAGCTAAAAGACTACTAGCTCAAATATATATGTCTTTTGTGTGAGTTTACTTGAAGCAGTGCATACTGAGCCAACCATGTTCCCTGAATATCAAACCCTCCTATGTGGTCTCACACAAAGTGGCAGCCTAATTTAGGCTTCATTCACACCCTCTTATGTCAACAACTTTCCCTGCCAACAGACAGAAAAACTAGTGTAACTGAAAGATACAAATTTTACATAAACAAATATGCAAATTATAATAAAGTAATATAATGGTCTGTATGTTTTTTAGTGTGAGAAGTCATTTTAAAATGGCATCAATCCAGTTTGCACATTTAAAGTATCAAAAGCAACCCTTGCAAAAAAGGAAAAGGCTGTACTCTATGAGTCAATTTGCTGGGGTATAAATGTGTCCAGCATGTAATGCTGTGGTATCTTTTCACTCTGGGTCCTTATTTTGGGTCCTCAATGGTTCTCTTGCTGAGGTCTGTCTTTTTAGGATACTTTACTTTCTTTTGGTCAAGTTCATTTTGAGCCCATAGCAGCAGCTTCAGCACCTTGGCCAGCTTGGGTGTTGACTCTGTTTTCATAGTCTAACACACACTGATTCATTTCACTCCACACCTGAAAGATGCAGGTGTAGCGGAATGATTTCGTCACATCCGTGTTGAGGTACTCTGTGTTGTGATTAACCCGGCTGGAGACAATCTTTCAGCTACAAATGTCTTTATTGCTGGTACAGAAGAAAATATAACAGAACAGCCATTGCAACAAATTATTTGGGTTATGGCAAATGGAATTATAACTCCGCTACATTCCCCTCCACTGATCTCCACTTGCCATAACAAACCCACAGACAGACAATCAGAAACCAAAACATACAACACGGAGCAAAAACATACCAGGAATGTGGAACAAGAATCCAAAAAGAAGAAAATGCACACAATGGACAGCATTAGAAAAAGTAAGAGATCCAGGAAATCCGGTCAGAGACCATCCGCAAAGGATTAGGATGCGAGAGGGTAGCAAATCCTATCAACACCCCTAGGTAAACATGCCCAACTACATGTTAAAGTACCAGGACCCACAACAAAACATACTGTCCGATTCAAGCCCATCAGACTATATCCACACCCTAGGAGGCGTTCATAGTGTGTCAAGGGGGCAAATCCGGTCATTTCGTGTACAGTGGCATTATAGGAAAATGTGAGATTTCAGCAGTTGAGGCCACCTGTGCTTAGCCTTAGGCGGAAGAGCTCTGATCATGTTGCCAAGAGTTCGGTTGAATCTCTCAACAGCTCCGCTGCCCATCGGGTGATAGGGCGTCGTATGAGACTTTTGAACACCCACCAGCAACTTGAAGCATCTCAGCAATCAAACTGCTCTCAAAACGAAGTAAAGCACACGACACAGACTGGGGTCAGAGCGTTGCATGGTGATCAACTTGTCTTTAGTCAAAGGACGAATGTCACTGAAGGTGGATGGCCTGCAATTTCATCCAGTGTTTCAGTAACCAGGTCTTCAGCGTTAGCCAGCAGCTGTGGTTTGGTTACTGTGACACTTTGTTTAGTATATGCATAAAGGATATTGAGGCCATGGACTCCTGAATCCTCCCAAAGTCAGGAAAGGCTTCTGGCAGGAAAAATAAGATTGAGACAGGTCTGTTACTGGTGACTAGTGTGGTGATTTTTAAAAAGTCTGAGACCTCATCCATAAACCTGGTTGGGACAGGCAGATTTCCTATCATCAGCCTAGAGAAGATGGGTATTGGTGGCCTTGATAAGGAGTTTTATGACATCTTCCTGAGAGCCTTCGCCTCCTGAGTCTTCCCTCCAGACATAGTAGAATGGATCGGTGAGGGCCATGCTTTCTGTCTGTCTGTCCCAGCATCACTTATTCATTTGTTTGTGCCTGCTCTTCCACTTGCTGCAAGTCAGATGATCATTTCATAAGATTGTGTGTGTGGTGAGGACACTTTCTCACTTTGTTATCCATGTCCTAAGTTATTGAAAATCTTGCTTATTTGTATGTCTAAAGGTTTTATTTAAAGAAGGATTTCTACAGCCAGATATGTACATATCAAATGTACAGAAGTTAATCAACCTTGGGGGACGAGTTTTTTTTTTTTTTTTCTTTTTAAGCCTTTCACCAGCAGTGAGGGTCAGTTTATCATCTACTGGTTCAACAAGGAATATAATCACCTTTATTTAGCCAAGTATGTTACACACAAGGAATTTGTTTCTGGTACAGAACCGAGGCAGCCATCTGCGTCACCAACTCACACCGATGGCTCTATCCATTGGGGGAAACTTGGGGGTTCGGTGTCTTGTCTGAGGACACTTCGACATGTGGACCGCAGACACCGTAATTCAAACCCCCGCCCCTCCGGTTGGGAGACGACCGCTCTACCCACTGAGCCACAGTTGCCCTACAGTGGCTGCCCCTGGTG